CAATCCTGATAAAACAACAGAGACAGAGTGACAGGGCCATTCGGGGGGCCATTGATGGAAAGCTATAATAGAAACATCGGCCCCCGTGTCTACTAAACCCTCAAATTGCCGTCTCTCTATTTGCAACCGTAGGGAGGGCCGAGAGTCACTAATGAGTGTTTCCCAAAAGACCTGAGTCCCTGTGCTCGCGAAGCCTCCTTTCCAGGTAGCATTTTGAGACTGGAAAGAAAGATAAGGCAGCAAAAGAAGTTGTGCGATGCGTTCTCCAGCCTCAAGGCTAAGCGTTTGGGATACTTGGGCCATAATTTGTATCTCACCTTGATAATCCGAGTCAATCACGCCAGGCTGCACAAAAATGCCCCTCATGGCAGCGCTACCCCTTCCCAGGAGGAGTCCAAAGGTATGAGCGGGGAGAGGCCCATACACCCCAGTAGGGAGTCGATAGACACCCCCACCAGGAGAGAGAACACAAGGGGTAGAGACAGAGAGGTCCGCAGCGGTGCTTCCCTGGTAGCCGCGTGGAGGTCCTTAACAGTAGTATGAACACTAGAGGGAAGTATCATTTCTACAGGAAGGGATTCTGGGTCATCCCTGCATTTGGCAACGGGCCCCAGGACTGTGGGCCCGGTTGGGCGTTTCCCGACTCAATAGGGAAGCCCAGTCCCGGCCGAGAAGCAGTGGGTTTTAAAGGATTGCCTGCCTTGTCCTTTTTAGAGTAACATTCGTTGGCCCAATGATACCCCTTTTGGCATTTAGGACATATGTTGTATTGGATCGAGCGTAGAAAGTTAGCACCAAGACAAAAGTATGCCAGATTGCAGGGTCATTTATTATGCCGGCGACCACAGAGGACTCACGTCTCTCCAACCTGTGGCATCAAAAGGAGGGTGCCAAGACTTTTTATACCTGAAAAACCACCTTGGGAGTGGGGGTGAGGAGCGGGATGGGGATGAAAAGGTTTCAGACATTCCAAGGGCTAGGGGATTCTGTGATTCACCTCCTGGGCGGAGACGAGGGCGGGGGTCTCCGGACATTCCAAGGTCCAGGGGACCCTGTAATTCACCTCCTGGGCAGAGATGAGGGCGGGGGTCTCCGGACATTCCAAGGGCCAGGGGACTTTTGTCATTCTGTTTGTTACTTCAGTGGTTTACAGAAGTCAAGATAAGCATTTGTTTACACACAGATCTTAGTTATCCTGGGCTGCTTATTTTAGTTATTACCGGTAAGCAAAGGCTAGCAATTCTGGCACAATATCACATTCCCCCCTGTTCTTTTAACATGTATTAAATCTTTAATAGGTTTCCTCTTTTTGACACAAGGGCCTATATTTGGATCTCAGAACCATCAATTTGACCGAGTTTATTCCTTCTTGGATAAATTTGAGGAGCATGTTTAAAAGGCATGGTCCAAATGTTAACCCTAGGACCATTAGCACCAAGGGTCCTGCTAATCCAGTGAGCAGGAATGTTAGCCAGGGGTTTGGGGCAGGGTCTCAGGTGAAAGAAATGAAAGAGTTTCTGTTTGCAGTATATCCTGTTATAGTGGAGATAGTTTCACAACCCCAATGGGGGCAAAAGAATTCATTTAATTCTCCACAGTTCCATCTTTTTGGTGGGGTGGATCCTGGGCACAGATATAACACCATGGTCTGGAGTTGTCTCTCTGCCCCTAAACTGCTGCACCCAGCTATACCTCCACTTGTCCTGAAATTTAAGTGGGGGCCCAGAAGGGCACAGAGGTCCAGGGAGAAGGTAATGGGGATCTCCGGAGTGTACTCCAGGGTTAGGTTGACTAGGGTGGATCCCTTTCCGGTTAAGGAACTAACATATGCTCCAGTGGAGCCCTCGGTGATGACCCATCGATAGTAGGTGGGTGCCAAGGAGGGTCCCTTTCGGAGGGTGGTTGCAGGAATCAGAGAGATTAGGATGATGACCGAGAACGGCGCAATAGTCTTAGCTTTAGGGGGTCCGTTGAGGATGGAACCACTTCCCATCCTGCATCTGGGGGGGCAGTCTTGACGTGTGAGTGGTGAATCCAGGCAGTCAGTCCATCCACCTTGATTGCCGTGGGGGTGACCAGGATTACAGTGTAGTGTCCTTTCCAGTGAGGATTTAGGCCGGAGGCAGTGACTCTCTTCACCAGGACTTCGTCCCCTGGCTGGAAGGGGTGTACCGGCTGGTCAGTGCAATCCACTGGGGTAGGTTGAGTTCCCCCGATGAGCGAGTGCACCTGGGACTGAACAGACTGGACTGCCTGCAAGGACTTAAGGAGTGTATGGTTATGGACTCCAGCATGTATGATGTCCGCAAGTCTGGGGAGTAAGGGAGGGGGCCTTTTAAACATAATTTCAAAAGGAGTAAAGCTTTTTAATAGGGAGTACATGGGGTACGGAGGAGAACAAAAGGAAGCAGGCTGACCCAGTTTTCACCGGTCTCTAGAATGAATTTTGTTAAAGTTTTCTTTATGGTCCGGTTCATCTTTTCAACCTGCCCTGAACTCTGGGGGCGACAGGCACAGTGTAGTTTCCAGGAAACCTGTGCTGTAAATGCAGGGCCATTATCTGATGCCAGTGTCAGGGGCAAGCCAAACTGAGGAACCAGGTCCTGTAACAATTTTTTCGCTATTACCAGTGCGGTCTCTGATCTAGTAGGAAAAGCCTCGACCCATCCAGAGAAAGTGTCTGCAAACACAAGGACTTACTTACAGCCGCAAGCTGGGGGCTTTATTTCAGTCAAATCTACCTCCCAGTGTTCCCCTGGGCTAGTACCCCTGCGTCTTATCCCTGCCTGACTAGGATTTACCCTGGCACATACTTCACAACGAGTAGTAGTTTTTTTTAACAATTTCATGTAAGTGTGGAATGTAGTATCTGGCCCTCAGCAGCTCAGTGAGTTTTGTTTGTCCTGAGTGGCCTGGTGTGTGTCCTTAACTAGAGCCTGTCCTAGAGCCTCGGGGAGCACAATCCTTGTGTCTGGTATCGTCCACCATCCTGTGGAATCTTGCCGTCCCCCCTGTTCTTTAGCAAAGTTTTCTTCCTCAGGCAAATACTTTGGGGTAGGAGGCAGGGTTGGGGCCGGCAGAGTCACAAGAAGGGTCAGAGGTTTTACTGTCCGCAAGGCTGCCGGTCTGGCCTGTAGTTCAGCTGCCCTATTTCCCCTTGCCTCTGGTGAATCTCCCTTCTGGTGTCCTCTGCAGTGCATCAATGCCACTGCCTTAGGCTTCCATATAGCTTCTAGTAGAGCTCGGATTTCCTCTTTGTTTTTGATGATTTTTCCCTCTGAGGTAAGCAATCCTCTTTCTTTATAAATGGCACCATGCACATGGGCCGTAGCAAAGGCATACCGGCTAGCCGTGTAGATGTTAACAATTTTTCCCTCTGCCCAGTCCAAGGCCTTTATTAAAGCTATAAGTTCTGCCTTTTGGGCTGAGGTTCCGTGTGGAAGAGCCTGGGCCCAGATAACCCGCTCTAGAGTGAACACAGCTGCCCCGGCGTACCTGACTCCGTCGACCATGAAACTGCTGCCATCTGTGTACAGTACCTCCTCTGGGTTCCGCAGGGGGACGTCGGTGAGCTCCAGTCGCGCAGCGTGGAGGACATCTATTGTCTGTTGGCAGTCATGTATGGGCTTCTCTGGCTCGCTGTCAGGTAGCAGTGTGGCAGGGTTTAAAACTGGTTTTTGAAAATTTTATGCGGGGCTGGTCCAAAAGTAAGGCCTGGTATTGAACTATGCGGGCATTAGACATCCATTTTCTCGTAGCTCCACGGAGTAGCGACTCCACCACATGGGGTGCCACTAAGTTCAACTCCTGCCCCAAGGTCAGTTTGTTCGCCTCCCTGACTAACAGGGCCGTAGCTGCCACCGACCTCAAACAAGCTGGCCACCCAGAGGCTACGGGATCAAGTCTTTTTGAAAGGTAGGCAACTGGCCGGGACCAGGGTCCCAATGTCTGGGTGAGCACCCCCTTAGCAACTCCCTGTTTCTCATGCACAAACAACTGGGAAGGTTTAGAGATGTCTGGCAAGGCCAAGGCTGGGGCTGCAGTCAGGGCAGTCTTGAGCTTGTCAAAACCTGTTGCTCCACCTCTGTCCATGTCAAGGGCTGATTTCCTCCAGCGCAGGCATACAGGGGCTTGGCTATCTCAGCAAATTCCAAAATCCATAGCCTGCAGTATCCTACTGCCCCAAGGAATTCTCGAACTTGGCATTTCGTGGTGGGGGTGGGTATTTGCAGCACTGCTTGGATTCGGCTGGGTGCCAGTGCCCAGTTGCCCTTCTCTATAACATAGCCCAGGTAAGTCACTTTTGGCTGGCAGAGTTGGGCCTTTTTAGCTGCGACCCGGTACCCCAAAGTCTGCAGGGTTTCTAATAATGACTGGGTGGTCTCTTTACAGGCCTCCTGGGTTTTTATAGCCAAGAGTAGGTCATCCACATATTGGAGTAGGGTACACTCTGGGAACTCAGCTCAGAAGGCAGCAAGGTCTTGGCTAAGTGCCTCATCAAACAGAGTGGGAGTTTTTGAACCCCTGAGGCAGTCTTGTCCAAGTGAGTTGCCCCGAGACTCCAGTATCAGGGTCGGTCCATTCAAAAGCAAATATAGGCTGGCTAACAGGGGCTAGTGGGATGCAAAAGAATGCATCCTTAAGATCCAAGACAGTGTAACGGTGTTCTGGGTCTAAGAGACTTAGGAGGGTGTACGGATTTGGAACTGTAGGATGAACATTTTCTACCCGTTTATTCACCTCCCTCAAGTCCTGCACAGGCCGATAGTCCTGCGTGCCTGGTTTTAGCACGGGGAGCAAGGGGGTGTTCCAGGGAGACTTACAGGTAGTGAAGATTCCTCCCTTCAAGAATCTGGTGATGTGCAGTGCAATTCCTCGCCTGGCTTCCCGGCTCATAAGGTATTGCTTCACCTGGACTGGAGTTGCCATTGCTAATAGCTGGACCACGACTGGGGTGCGGTGACTTGCCAACCCTGGGGGACTTGTTTCGGCCCATACTCCCGGTACACTCTCTTGAAATTTGCGGAGGAAGTCTGATGCAGGTGGTTGATCTGCCTCTGAGGATAAAGCTTCCTGCAAGAGATACTCGTCTGACAGAGCACAGGTGATGAGGATCTGCTGAGGTGGCCCTGTGGCTAAGAGAGGAGGAATTGAGAGGCACGCTTGACTCCCGCTGAAAGAAATATTTGCTTGCAGTTAGTGGAGCAAGTCCCGTTCCAGGAGTGGATATGGACACTCAGGGATGACCAAGAATGAATGGGTGACAGTGCCATTTCCCAGATCAATGAATCGATTTGTGGTCCAGGGGCTAGTTGTGGTTTTTCCTGGAGTGCTGCTATTACTGCCTTAGTAACTCTCTTATTTTGCTTGGCCTCTAAAGTGTCTTTATTGTTAAAGACTTTTTGGGCAATTTTTAACAACTGAGTTAAATTCATTCTCTGGAACCTCTCTAATTTTTGCAATTTTCTTTTGATGTCTGGGGCAGACTGGGAAACAAAAGCCAGATTGATGGCCCGCTGATTGTCCAGGCCTCAGGGTAATAGGCATCCAGTAAGCGCTCAAGGAAAGCAGCTAGCAACTCCTGTGGACCCTGAGTTACAGCTCCTACCTCGGAGAGTTTACTGGGCTTGTGGGCCACTCCCCTAACCCCTTCTATAAGATACTGGTGAAAAGTGTTCAGAGCCTGGTGACCCCTCCCCCAAGGTGTTGAGGTCCCATTGGGGTCAGGTAGAGGGAAAAAAAACTTTTTCCTCGCCCTGGACCTGTGACGGCTTTCAGGGCTTCCTGTCTAATTTTGCCTTTTTCTTCTGTGGTGAATAGAATTAGTAATAATTGTTGGCAGTTGTCCCAAGTGGGGCGACGCGTCTGGAATACAGATTTTAAGAGTCCTGTCAAAGCCTGGGGCTTCTCAGAGAAGGGGGGGATGTTGAGTTTCATTGTAAAACTTCGGCAACATCACCGCCTTAAATTCCCCCAGCCTCCCAGCACTACCCCCTCCCGGGGAACTTTCCATCTCGGCAGGTACCTAACCCTCCCCCTCTCACCGTCTTAGCAGTTCTCCAGTACAACCCCCTCCCAGGAACTCTTAGAAGTTCCCCAGCACTTCCCTCCTGCACAGCCCCTCACACTGGATGCATCTCTGCCGGCTTGCAGGCCATAGAAATCCCCTTTGCCATGCCATGGGTGCTGCCAATTTTAGGTTTAGCCCGGCAGCTTTCCCTTGCTCTTAAAGCTTGTGCCAGCACTTGATGTTTTGGCCCTCTTTTTGATCTCTATCACCTTCCAGTTATATAAGTTACTTGACAAGAAGGGGATGTGAACAAAGAATGGGCGACCCCAATTGTCTTCTGTTGGGGGTGACTCTTGGAAAGGGGAGGACTGCCGGTGGGTGTGGGGGCCCTACTATGGGTGTGCAGGGGGGACAAGGTTTGGTTAATAGTACTGTCGAGGGGGGTGCTGAGGCGCTTGTTTACAGGGCCTTGAGTAGGGTGGAAGTAATTCCTGATCCTCCGCTGGGGTGGGGAGAATGGCTGGCCCAGAAGGGACTTTCTTTTGGGCCGGCTAATGTGACCTGAAGTCTAGCCTGTTTTATGCAGCGCTTTAGCCATGGGGGAGGCCATTGGACTAAACCCAACCATTGGTCGATGTATGGAAACTGCTCAGGGTATCCAGGAGTTTCTGCAACCATTTTCCATACAGCCTGGGTAATTTTTGGGTCATAGGTCCCAGTATCTGGCCACCTAATTGCAAAAGACGGCCATTCAAGTTCACACAAAGAGCGGAGTTTTCCAGGGGTTAATTTCACCCCATATTGGCCTGAGAACCCAACCTTGAAGTTGGCCGTCATGCATTGGAGGGGGATACAAGGCTGGGAGCTAGACAACCCCATTTGTGGGTTGTTGTTTTTTTTTTAATGCCAAATTTTCCTCAAGAGAATTCACTAATTTAAAACTGATTTCCATAATTTAAAACTGGTTTCACTGAGGATTTGAACCAACAACCTTGCAGTTGCAGGCCCCACACCTTAACAACTGTGCTAACAAGTCACTTTTGTTACAAAGTTAGAAAGCTTTTTTTTTTAATTTATTTTTTATTTTTTTATTTTTATTTATTTATTTATTTTTTTTGAGACGGAGTTTCGCTCTTGTTACCCAGGCTGGAGTGCAATGGCACAATCTCGGCTCACCGCAACCTCCGCCTCCTGGGTTCAGGCAATT